TATTCTTTTGCTTCAGAGCCCAGTTTTTCCGCCAGCTTTGCTGTTGTTTCCCTAAATCTGTGATTAAGGAACACTGCAGTGATTTAGGAACACTGTGCCAAGAAAGAAAAAATGATATGAAAGTTTTCTTGAGCATTGTTTTCGGAATATGTCAGGCAGGCCATTTACAAGTCAGACACAGAGAAAAAGAAAACCAAGATAGACCATCATAAAGCATTATTTCCTCAATGTTATTTTCTACAGATATTGGTATACCTAGGTAAAACCATTCTTTACCCCTAGGTAACATCTGCAATGTCAGGGTGAGTCAGTTCTAGGCAACCAGACACCAACCAGATGTTCTGTGTTACAACTCCCATCAGTCCCAGCTCACACGTCCACCAGTCAGTCAGGTACTTGTGCCACAAAACAGCTGAAGAGTACAAAGTTGACTAGAGTAGCCAGCACCTTTCAGAAAGAAGCACGCATCCTTCAGCAGTGGGTGGCAAAGCATTGGCTGTTCTAGCACTGTCTTGAAACATTTGTTTGTGACATATAAGGGGGCGTAACATAGAAAGTTCTGAGAGTCTGAAATTATGAGGAGGCAAAGGAAAGGAAAGTAATAGCATATATGTTCAAATGGGAGTGGGAGACTGAATTTGTATCAGCAAGGTAGCGTTAATAATTTTGACTGAGTGGTAAATATTTGCATCAATGTCCTCTGTGTTAGAACAACACCAAGTGGAGAAGATACAACGTCAAGAAGGGTACTGGCCAAAGCATGGTATGCTTTGTTCCTCTCAAAGCTAGGCTCAACCCTGCCTAAACTTATGCTAGTATAGAACTGTTTTAACATGGAGTTTCTGGGTTTATTCCTCTAATTACTTAACACCTCAATGCAGGAAATGGGTTTTGATGCCCTTCAGATGTTATTAGACTGTTACTCTCATGACCACCTACCACTGACTGCTGCCGAAGGCTGGGATAGTTGCAGTTATCCACTCCTTCATTAGGGGCTGTTCTGCACACATGGTGGCTAGTACCATACAAATATTGTATTGCTAGTACTAGAGATGTGTGTGCGTGTGCGCATGTGTGTGCGCGCACATACACATGCACATGCGCGCACGCGCACACACGTGCACACACACGCACATGCGCACACCGGCCTGCAGTGTGCCTGAATCAGGGTGCATAGATTGGTGCCTTGTGCCACTTTGGAAGTCCTTGCTTTGCCAGTATTGTGCACTTCCAGTTCTCTGGGGAAAAATCCATTCCTGTCAATGCAAAGAGCAAGTCTAGGTCACAGAGCGAATGGGACAGGACAGAAGGGGTTCTGGCCAGGCTGTTTGCGGAGCTGGGCACTTTGTTCTATTTCTACTCCCCCCCCCTTTTTTTTTCTTTTTTACAATACCAGGAAAACACACTCATTGGTTTTCTAAGGCAGTACGTACTGGGAAGGAACTTTTGAGGCATTTTTAAAAGGGCAACAATCTCTTTGATTTCTTCTTAAAAGGGCAATGTGGGAAGCTTGCAGTTTGCTACATTTTCTATCTTTTCTGTATCCTCACCGCCATCCTTCTTTCCCCTAGATCTGAAAATTAGTAGTGCTATGATCGCAGATTAATCAATGACTTTGCAGCACAAAAAGCTAATTTCTGTGTTAAGGAGGATATTCTCCATTTCCTTTGCCATTAACTTAGTATCTTCCTGAGTTTTCTCATTTCTAGTTGCATCATACGAATACCAGATTTAATATAAAGGATTACGTCATGTGCAATGCCTGCTCTCAAGAGGATCACTTGGAGGCCATTATTCCTTTGTGCCTACTCCCTTCCCCAAGTCCTCCATATAGAGCATAGTCTTTCGAGACTGAAGGATGCCTAACTGCCTAACTCACTTCAAGGCTGTATAAGAATTTTGGGCCTTGGTCACCTAAGTTGCATATTGAACAAAAGGTGGCAAGAATAAGTATATAAGTCCAATAAATAAATAAATAAAATAAGAAGATTTTTGTCTTTGATGTAGTAGATTGTCTATGATATCTTTTGAATCATTTGAGATTTGAGGAAGAAATGGGCTCAGCGTAAATTCCACAGATTAAGAAGGAGCAGCCAGGGCTGGGCTATAGCCCAGCAAGGAACCAAAGTTTGAAAACTGTGCCTGTAAGAGGAAGTGTCTGGGGAGGAACCAGCTGCTATATTCGTTCTGCACTATGGTAGGCCCCAGAGCAAGGGGTTAAGTTAAGCATCTAATTATGTTTGTCCTTAGTTCAGCTCTGACACTCACAGAACAGGATGAGGCTGGAGAGCATCTGGAGATGGGCTCCAGCAGAATCTAATCTAAAAGCCGAAAAAATCATATCAAACATCTATTTAGCTAAGGTGAAAGCCACAAGGAGAACATATTTCGCTACCCAGATAAGCAAAGCTCAAAGCCATCAGGCTGAACCCTTTCATACTACACGATTTATCTGGGGTTGGTCATAGCAACAGGCTTCCCAGTAATATCGCCTGTGACCAACTTGTGGCCTTTTATAAACATAAAGTGGAGGCCATCCACTGGGACCTTGGCCATGCTTCTTCTCCAGTAGATTGAGCTGAGACGTCCACTGCACTGCCTTGCCCTTAACATGTTTTCAGCCTGTGACATCGGCAGAGGTGGACAGGGAGCTTGAACACTGTAGGGCCACTGGTACCTCCCTAGATCCTTGCCCGGCCTGGCTCATAAAAGTGGCCATGCCAGGAACTATGGAATGGGTTTTGGCTATTATTAATGGGTCTCTCCTTGAGGACAGGGTTCCCTGAGCCCACAAGGAGACACTTATCAAACCTAACCAAAAAAGCCTAACTTGCCAGCAGGTTATATAAACAACTATCAATCTCTCACCAATGTTCTCTTTCCCAACAAGCTAGTGGACAGAGAGGTGGCTGACCAGCTTCAGACAATCCTGGAGGAGACTGTTCCCCTTGATCCATTCCAGTCCGGTTCCATGGCACAGAGACAGCATTGGTCACCCTGCAAGATGACCTTTTGAGGGAGACTGACAGGGCCAAAATGTCCTTACTGGTCATCTTTGACCTGTCAGAGGCCTTTGATACTGTCAGCCATGTTATCCTCCTGGGGCAGCTCTCTGATCGGCAGTCTGGTCTTGGTGTGGCTCCAGTCCTTCCTCAAGGATCATCCTCAGAGAGTACAGCTTGGCGAGATGATGTCCACCCCTTGGACCCTTGACTATGGAGTCCCTCAGGGGTTGATCATCTCCCCAGTGCTGTTTAATATCTATATGAGGCCCATGGAGGAGGTCATCAGGAGCTTTGGAGTTTCGTGTCACCAATACGTGGATGAAACCCAGCTCTCTCTCCTTCCACAGCAGAGGATGTGGTCCCGTCCCTTGAGCGCTGTCTGGATAGCATGCTGTGGTGAATGAGGAGCAATAGATTGAGGCTGAACCTGGCCAGGATGGAGATTCTGCGGGTGTTTGTGGATTAGGTGCCTCCCTCTCCTTCGGGGGTCTACTCTATCTGTTAAGGATTAGGTTCGCAGCTTGGGTGTATTATTGGACATAGTACTGTCAAAGCCTCAGATAGCATCTGTGGCCCGTTCTGCCCACTTCCACCTAAGGTTGATTGTCCAGCTGCATCCCTACTTTGACACTGGGTCCCTCACCATGGTGGTTCATGGACTAGTAGTTTCAAAAATAGACTACTATAATGCTGTCTACTTTGTGACAGCATTGAAGTTTCCATAACAGACCATAACAGCCATGAGGCTGTTATGGAAGCTTCAGCAGGTCCAGAGTACAGCGGCCAGATTACAGAGAGGTGTTAAGAAACATAAACATGTTTCTCCCACCCTGGCCTCCCTGCACGATTTACCTGTCTGTTTCCGTGTCAGCTTCAAGGTGATGGTGTTAGCTCACTTCCCCAAGTCCTCCATATAGAGCATATTCTTTCGAGACTGAAGAATGCCTAACTGCCTAACTCACTTCAAGGCTGTATAACAATTTTGGGCCTTGGTCACCTAAGTTGCATATTGAACAAAAGGTGGCAAGAAGATTTTTGTCTTTGATGTAGTAGATTGTCTATGATATCTTTTGAATCATTTGAGATTTGAGGAAGAAATGGGCTCAGCGTAAATTCCACAGATTAAGAAGGAGCAGCCAGGGCTGGGCTATAGCCCAGCAAGGAGTATCTGACAGAACGCCTCCTCCCGACAAGATCTGCCCATCCCATTCAATCTTCCCAGGTGGGGCGGTTGAGAGTTTTACCTCAAGAGAGGCCCCAAAAGAGAGAACAAGAAATCAGGTCTTCTAGGCGGTTGCTCCTCAGCTCTGGAACAAGCTCCTGCCGGAAATCCGCATGGCCCCTTCACTGGGAATTTTTAAGTGACTGTGAAAAACATGGCTTTTCCAGAAGGCCTTCCCAGATCTTAGAACATCTTAATTACAACACCTAATTACAGTGGGTGGTCTCAGCATTTATACTACCAATACTGCTGTCTCGCTTTATACTGTATTATTTTATATTAACAATTTTATTTAAATTGTTGGTTGTTTTATTTTTATTTTGTATTATTATGTTCATTGTTGGTATAGTGGAAGTTGTATTTGTCTAACACCAGAGTGGCTTAGTTGCCAGATGGGTGGTATAGATGCCGAATAACTAACTAAATAAAAATCTGGCCTCTTTCTTTCACGTTGGTAGGCAATGAAAAATGTGTTGACTTGCTTTGTTTTGCTGTGATTTCCTTAATTAATGTGAAAAAAAAATGCGGAACCAAACAATTTCCATCTCAGGTTTGTTTCCAAGCCATTGGGAGGCAATGGGTTGGTGCTAGTAAGAGGAAGATTGTTGCCACCTGTGTCATCTTGTGGAATGCTGACCAAGATCTGTTTGATCATGAGCCAAAGTGGAGGCAGCCTGGCAATGAGTTTCAGCTGCCTTCTCTTGAAGGCATGCAAGCTCACCAATATTCCAGAAGGTTCTGATGAAATTAGGTTTGGATTGGCTGATGGGTGAGATTACTGCTACTGAGGTTTAAGGCATATACAAAATCCAGTGGAAAACTAAAATGGGGCTGTGTCTTAGTTGATCCTATGCCAGTAACAGCTGCACTCAGTGCAAGTTCAGAAATCTGTCTGCTGTTACTCTGATGTCCCTAACTGTAAGTATTTAGCTTTGGCTACTCATTCCTGTTTTTTCTCTGGTTATTCCCAAACTATTCTACCCTGTTTCCCCGAAAATAAGACCTAACCTGAAAATAAGCTGTAATGTGATTTTTGGGATGATCTTAATATAAGCCCCACCCCAAAAATAAGCCCCAGTTAAGTAAAACCTCACCCACCACCATTGTGCTATAACCAGAAGATGACATGATTGTATTTGAACCTATGTGGTTTGTTGTACATGAAAAAATAAAACATGCTCTGAAAATAAGCCCTATTGTGTTTTTTGGAGCAAAAATTAATATAAGACCCTGTCTTATTTTTGGGGAAGCACAGTAAGTCTAGTTTTGTAATTTGACTTCTGTTTTCCCAGAGGCATCAGGTGCTTGAGTCTTTTACAGACTTACATCACCTTGCCCCCCTTCTCTCTCTCTCTCTCTCTCTCACTTGAGTCTTTTACGGACTTACATCACCTTGCACCCCTTCTCTCTCTTTCTCTCTCTCTGTCTGTGTGTGTGTAGAGAAGTCATTCCAGAAATGGAACAATCTTAGGGAGAGTGTTCCAGAGTCTGGGAGAAGTGACAGAGAAAGCCCTCTCCTGTGTCCCCAACAAAAATACCTGTGGAGATGGAGGGACCAAGAGAAAGACCTCCCTATATGATCTTAACAGCCTTTGGTGCAGCTATAATGCTATTGAAGTATATACTTACCATTGCTGCATTAAGTTACTGCTTGTGTTAGTATATAAAACGTATATATTTCTTTTCATTCCTTACCTTAGTTACTGCTGATCTCCCCTTACCCTCCTCCAGTTTTGCCTTTTCACACTCTGCATGTGTACTTCAGAGAGTAAAGTCACATGTGTTTGAAGATCATTTCCCCATCACTAAGTGATTAATACCATAGTGTTAACCTGAAATGTACTACATGCTCCCATTGATACCAAGTGACCATTTATTTGTTATAAAGACTTAATTAGTCTATTATGAAACTTTATAAACTAAAGCCCATTTTCTTGATAACTTCTGGCATGGTAGCCCTTACTTAAGTTGCTGCATGCAGGTGTTCAATGCCCTTTCCTGGGGCAGCAGGAAGTTTTAGAAGCAGTACATGCTTGCCCTTGACCTGAATACAGCTGCCTGCATATGCCACACCACAAAGCAGCAAGTGTGATTTAAGTACAATAGGTTATAATGAGAATGGGTCAATAGGTGGCAAGCTCCATTATGTCAATCCATAACAGAACAAAATTAAAATGCTTTCAGTTTTTAAGCTTTATTTCACATTTCCATCACTCTTAATTTTTTTTCCTCCTGCCTTTCATCAGTTGTAATGCAGGACACATAGGGCAGTTGTCGTCTTTGTGGCCATGTCTCTTTGGGGTAGGACAATGGCAGAAATGGCTACAGTACATACTTAGGGTACAGCCAAGTGCTGGAGATGATCAGAAACAATACTGCCACCCATCATTATCTCTATGTTCTGCCTGTGATGCATCCAAAATGCCATATACATATTTAATATATATGAACATGCACCCTGGAGAAAAGAATCTGTGAGACAATTGCTATTGCTAAAATGATTATGTGATGCTACAACATTTTTAACAGCTATCACACTGTTCAGCTCTCTGAATATCAAAACAAGCCATTTGCTTATAGGCTTCTTTGTGGTACTGCTTGTGAAATGTGAACATAAAAACTAGTCTCTCATAAGAAATGATGGTGATGATGATGATGATGCACTGGAATAATTTTTTATTTTGCCCTGCAGCAACATTTTAACAATACAAAGTAGACTGGCAATAAGTTCTTTTGATGTAGAGTGGCCATAATTTCTAGGAGTGAGGGCGTGGTTTGCCACTCCTCCCTGTACAATTTGCCATACAACCTTTCACTAGCCCTTTTTCCTGTTTGGAATTCTCAAACAACTATTTCCTGTGCAAAGGAGAGACAGGCTACCCAAAAGACTGAAGATTTATGCAAGAGGAATTGCACTTCCTAGAACCGCATGCTTAATGTGGCCGATGGTTATCCTGGTTGATGGTATTTTGGAAGTGCACTCAAGAAAAGTAGATTTTCCAAGCCCAAGGGAGGGAGAAGTAGTGGCGGGGGGGAAGGTACTAACTATGTTTATTTTGAAATGTGAATAATAAAAAAAGAATATATGAAAAAAGTATTCTTGCGTATTCCACAGCATCTCTGGTGCAAATCTCTTCCCAAGTTTGTTTTCAGCATTCATGTTGTCTGGTTATAAAACAAATTGTACACTGAGATGATCATTGGTTCCATTAGCTTATTTGTTTTGTATCCCTGCTATTGTGGGCCTATTGACATGGATATTTGTCAATATTTCACAGATAAACATGGGATAGCCAATGTGCTATGATGGACAGAGTAACAGGGTAGAACTCAGGAGATGGGGGTTTGTGTCCCCACATGTCCCCACTTGGCCATGGGGTGGGTGGATGGTATGGAACTGGTAACAATGTTCCATAAGTATCTCACTTATCTTGAAAACCCTATTAAGGTTGCTGTAAGTCCGTTGCAACTTGATGGTACATAACACAAGCACAGAGATATGGAGACCAAACCTGCACCTTTCACATGTAAAATATATAGTTTACTGCAGGTCAATCTCTATTGGCATGCCAGACTATTGAGATATACATGTGTGGCTTCTGTAACCCAAACCAAATTGAATATTGTCTACTGCTACAAGTTATAAATTATATGATTGTCTATGTTTTTAAGATAGGGGCTGTGTTCTCAAGCAAAAAAACACAAAATCCCAGACTTATACTCCATATGTATTAAACCAATACCAATCTTCTCAATTCTGTATGTAACACATGTCTGGGTACTGTAGTAGCTATAACATAGAAGCCATTTTAGATCAGCCAACCCTTATTGCACTGGTCTTACAGTAAGTGTGTTGTCTAGTTACTGACATGATTTCCACGATCAGTTTATAGTGCTGGTATTTACTGACTTTTAAAATCTTACTCTGCTTATTTTAATGGACTGATTTTACCTGTAGCCTACTCAAGTGTTAGGAGGGGCATTCGTGCTTAGATTTCTGCTCATCATTACTTGGGCCAGATACAGCATTTTCAGTAGCTGAAAGAAATCTACCTCTCCAGACCTTTTTGTTCCCAATGCTTTCTGTATTTACAGTGCTTGTTTCAATAGTCTCCACTGTGCCTTTTGTTAGACATGTTGTAAGTTGACTGGGAAAGATTTTATCTGGAAAGGCACATTTATAATTGAGTGAAATAAATATACGCAGAATTTCACTGGGAAGCACTGATGGTCAAGCTCCCATTGGCAGGATTCTATTTCTTGGTCACGCTCAAGAGTGACACAATGTTGGAAGAATGAGCTAGAATACTGGAAAGTGGTTTGAAATAATAATCAAAGGGAACAAAAATAAAGAATATGGACCACAGTACAGCATGATCATAAATTAAGGAAGAAAGGAAATTCACTAATTTCAGTATTCCCAACAAAGATGAAAGTGTGAACCTATTGATTTGCACTTAGTACAGTTTGGGCATATTATGTGACACCTGGACTTTTCTGTATGTCGGTGGCTTTCCAACCTATGCATTACCATAGCTTTGCCTTGGCATTGTCAAGACTGTGGATTGCCCAGTGGTTTATGTAAAGCCAGAAGTTGAGAGTTCAGTTCTCCATAGTGCTACCTCATCAGGGGCTGGACTCAATGATCCATAGGGGCCCTTCCAACTCTGAAGTTCAAATATTATTATATGATAACAAAAGGAAAAGGAATAGATAAAGAAAAGAACCACTTATTTTAATTTAAATTAGAACTTTTCCAGCAACAAGAGAGTTATGAGAAAATGTAGAGTAATAATTTTGAGCCCTACAACTGAGGTCACACATTTATATCTGCAGCCTACAGAAATATGTTTCCAAGCCTCCATCAGATTTTGCGCGCGTTGGGAATTATTAGTGGGAAGTCTGGTAAGCATTGCTTTTCGTGTTTGTGTGTTCTCAATTTTCATTTGATTTGGAGGTGCTTTTGCTATTGCATTCCTAGCTTTTTTAGAATTATACTGTCAGGAAACTAGTCTCCTTCCTATTTCCTCTTCCTCCTCATGTTGAAAAAGGCTCTCTAGGCTTTCATTGCCATGGTGACCATAGAGTGCTGTGATTGTTGACATGCACACTTCACTGTTTTGCAGCTACTGGGGAGAGGCTGGTGTAATTGCCTAACCTCCAAGCTAATCAGTGGTCCTTTTCTGCTGTTGGCAAAAATGGATTTGCTTTTGTCATGCCAACCTCAGTAGAAGGCTTTGGCTGTTAGAATGTGCTAGGCAAGAAGGTGATGTGTGAGAGTCCTTTCAATAATGAAATACATCTTGTTAGGGCTAAGAGGCCCTTCTGTGGTCTTTATTACTGAATAGGACTACAGATGGTCCTCTATATTTAATGCGGACAATAGAGACAGCCTATTTCACACATAACAGACATTTCCCTCACAAGGGGCAGCCATTTGATGGGAACTTATCCTTTGAATGAGGGTTGGCACAGTGATAGTGTAAAATGTCCTGCAAAATCTTAATAAATTAAAACGTTTATTACACTGTTGTTTAGAAAATGTGGGTTGAATAACTAAGGAAACAAAGAAATTGTATTCTGAAAAATGTCAGTCAGTTATAAGTTGAATAATACTATTATGACTGGACATGGAAGATTTGTCTTGGGAGATGAAGACATGGACGACGAAGACAAATCTTGCCAGCATACCGGGAAGGGGGCGGGATGACGAGTCCCCCTACTGAGCCACTAAGTGGCTGGCTGAGCAGGGAGGTAGGGCAGTGCCAGCTGGGATACTGCTGCAATTGGCATGCAGCTAATGCTGCTGTCCACATGCGCTGTGCACCGCACAGTAAGTGAACCAGTGGGTTCTGGGGGTAGGCATTAATCAGGCCGAAGACAAATCTCCCATGTCTAATTATTACATCACTAAAAAAATTAAGGCTGTAAAATATTTCTTTTTTTTCAAGTGTAAGACCCCATCAAAAAATACGAACACTTCTTTCTTGTAGCAGTAGTATTCAACCTGTGAACAAAAAAGTCATACTTGCTCTTTTGCATTAAAATCATTTTGCTTCTATGCAAAATATAAGGTTTTCAGCAAAAATGTTTTATGTAACGAAACAAAACATGGCCGTGATTTATTTATTTTTTGCAAAAAGTGCCAGAACACAAAAAATGCAGAATCTAACAACAAGAAGAATTAACATTAACATTTTTCATAAGCGCCCGTCACTTATCCCAGCTCCCGCCAACCTAGCGGTTCGAAAGTATGCAAATGCAAGTAGATAAATAGGGACCACCTCGGTGGGAAGGTAACAGCGTTCCGTGTCTAAGTTGCACTGGCCATGTGACCACAGAAGATTGTCTTTGGACAAACGCTGGCTCTATGGCTTGGAAACGGGGATGAGCACCGCCCCCTAGAGTCGAACACGACTGGACAAAAATTGTCAAGGGGAACCTTTACCTTTACCTTTTACCTTTTCATTCATGCCTGAGAACTAAACAAGCAAAGATTTACATCTGTGCTTAAAACTCAGTAACAAGGAGAGATTTTAGTTATATTATAAAATTGTGCACTCTAGACATGAAGCAAAAAGTCTTATAAACCTGACCAGATGCAGTAGTGATTGTATAATACCCCACCTTGGATTTTGAATATAATTTATAGGTATGAATGTTTGCCCATGTAATATGGTTTGATGGGGATTTTGGGAAATCCAGGTTCAGATTTCAAGAAGAGCCATGAAACTCTCTAAGTGATCTTGAGCTGCTCACTTCTCCTCAACCTCACAACATTATTTTGTTGTGACTCTAAGCTGGGGAGAAAGGGAGCTGTGTATATCATCTTGAGCTCATGGGAGGAAAGATAAATGTAACTGATTAAATAACGAGAAGGTACAACTTGATTGTGGAACCTCACTGGCAAGAAGGATTGGTTTCTAATTTTTTTTGTACCCTTTAAATCTCAGATGTAGTCATTGTGACAATATGACACATTGTGAAATAAATGCATAATGAGAACAAAAAGAAAAGTATTGTTTTACTTTGAAAGACTTGAAGATGCCATAATAGCAAACTGGCTGTGGTTTTGTTATACATGCACATTTATCTCTTTGAAAATTGTTTCAAGTAAATGCACCTACAGTGGGGTCTTGACTTGAGAACTTAATCCGTATTGGAAGGTGGTTCTCAAGTCAAAAAGTTCTCAGGTCAAATCTGCATTTCCCATAGGAATGCATTGAAAACCATTTGATCCGTATCTGCTCTTTTCCGTCCATAGAAACTAATGGGAAGCTGCTATTCTCCCGTCGACCACTAGAGGGGTATATTTTGTTTCTTTTTTTCTTAGGTCAAGAAAGGGTCAGGGAAGGCAGGGAAAATACAGTCCAGGCAGTACAGTACCAGGCAGTCTGAAGCCTGTCTCCCAATCCACTCTCTAAACGCTGGGAGGAGTGAGGAAGCAGACAGGCACCCTTTTCACTGGCCAACAGTTAACTGAAAGTTCAAATTTTGCCCTTTCCCTGCCTCCCACGTGGTTTTTTTTTCAGTTCTTAACTCAAATCTAAGTATGTAAGTCAAGTCAATATTTTCCTATGAGAGTGGTTCTTAAGTCAAAATGTTCTTAACTCGAGCCGTTCTTAAGTCAAGACCCCACTGTACCTGTTTATGTCTGTAGTTCAATAAATTCTGAAGGGGAATTAATTAATTAATTAATTAATTTACATTCCTGTATGTCAGAAAGCTGGTTCTTTGCTCTTTTTCTTTGAGTACACTTTTGGTTCTTTGCCTTCCACATTCTTGTTCAGCTTCAGGAATCCCATTTGAATTAAAAGGACTTTACCTAGGAATAGTTTATTTCAGTACAGTACTCCTTTCCCCAACCCTCACTTGCTGTTTTTCTTTTTCCTTAAAGTAGGTGACATGGTTTAAAAACAAAAGCACACAAAGAGACTAAGAATGCTGTAAAGAGGTTCTGTAATAGCTCCAAAGGCATCGAAGTAGGTACACAACGATTTCAAGCAGGCTGAGGGCAAAGGAAGGGCGGATTTGCAAAGATGAGTTCAGACTGTTGAAAAAACAAGAAAGCATTTTTTCGGTATGCTTCAAGGTCCTTGTAGAAGGTAAATGTTGTCCCTTAATATCCAGGCAAGGGGTTAAAGACATAGAAGGGAGAATTTACCCTATGACAGAATCCAACTGCTAACTTATGCATATATTTATAACTAATGGTGAAGAGGTAAAACACATTGCATTTAAAATAAAAGACTTTCACACTACAGTAGCAGTGAGCTGAGGTAACACATCCTGGCAGCAGAATTCCAGTGCCCCTTCCTCCATGGCTTAGTCCTGAGGAGCAGGACTAAGCCATGCATTTTGCCACACCAGGAAGTGTGTATAGTGGGCAGTTGGGCACTGGGTGGCGACACTTTTCCCACCTTGGGCAGTAAGCGAACTTGCATGACCCCTGTGAGCTGAATCAAATTATGCCTATTTAGGTGCATTGACAACATAGACAACGGAATTCCCTCCGTACCATACCATTCGCGTATCTAATTGACATAATCATCATGGTGAACAATGGCATCTTCCTGATGCAACAAGCAATGTTCTTCTTTGTGGCCTCTGTGAATCCACTGTGGGTGATCTGAGCCTGCATGGAGCCTCTTCGGAATATTCTAGAGCTTCTCCGGTAGCAAAAAACACATTAGAATAGACCCTTCTCCCTCGGTATAAATACCTTGACACTAGGACTCTCCCTTCAGTTTCTTTCAACCGCCACATTGAAGAACCTCATATTTCTATCTTCTGTGAGTCTGAAAGCGAAATAAGTTCTTTTTACTGTTTTTAGTTTTTTCCTCCGTGCCTCGGCCTCTGGCAGTCGCATCCCTCTCAGTGATTTGCGATAATAAGATCCCCCTATTAGATGGTCACACAAAGTGCCTTTTTTGTCTAGGTGAGGCACATCAAGCCTCCTCATGGCCTCATTGTAAAAACTTTAAATGAGGAGTCCTCCGTTCTCATCTGTCTCGACTCCAACTCCATCTCTGGGAACAGTCCTTTCAACCAGCAAATCTTATGGCTCAACCTCCATGTAAAACCACCTCACAGGCTAAAGCCATGGAAAAAGCCATTGCAGAATCATCGAAACATCGTTCCTCCACTACTCCATCTCATTCTGATTACCTTCCACTTCATCGAAAACTTCTAAGATGCATAGATCCAAACAGTTGACGTCGAAAACTTTGACATCAAAGCCTTCCAAAAATCGAAAGCCTCCTTCCGATCTGGTACCGGGGCCCTTGCAACCAATGTAATCTAAACAAACCAAATCAAGGACCCCACAATAGGTCTCTGAACCCGGCGATTTAATTTCTGTCGGTTCGCCCTCTGATGATGAAGGACTTCCATCTCATCAACCGGTTTCTCAGTCACTGACATGGGACGAGTGAGTGGACCGTCTTACTTCCGCACCTAATAGTCCGCGATATTCCATCTCTCCTCCTAACCTGTCCACTGATGCCTCCCCGGAGAGAGAGGAACCTGAGCCTCAGCCGGACAAAGTGCCCTATTCTGTACCATCGGGCTGTGCTATCAGGAGCATTCAGCATATGAGGCAATTCCGCAAGCATGTGTTGACCAACACCACACCCAGCACACTCATTGGGTAGACATTTGCCCTGATCAGTGCTTCTCTAACCTGCCCGGCTGCGGATGCTCAACCAGTTGCTTCCTCTGATTCAGTTTTAGCATCACACCAAAAACCTCCATCTCAACAACCTTCTGTGTCAAAGAGGCCTTATCACCCAGATACACAGCCATCATATAACTTTTCATCCACCACTTGCAAATATCAGGGCAGTCAAGAAACATGCTTCCACCCACAAAGCATTCGCAGCCCCGGTGCCCCCATATTTTTTGGCTCGTAATGATGGAGACCACTCCTCTTGCTCGGCATCCCCAGTCTCGATTTACTCTACAGACCTACCCATGCATCCACCGAACCGGCCCTCTCCTTTTATTTGTCGTGTACACAAACTTTTTAAAAGTCTACAACTCACTCCTCAGATGATTTCTTGCTGGGTTGCCTCTCCTCTTCGGCTTACATACCAGCTTGCTCAACAGCCGGTCCCTCAAGCTACTCGCCCTCATTCCACCAGGGCATTGGCGACCTCTACAGCATTCCTACATGGTGTGCCTCTCCCCAACATCTGCGCCTCAGCTATGTGGGCACAACCATCTACCTTCATCCGGCATTATAGACTGGATGTTTGACAGAAGTCTGACGCAACATTCAGACGTGCTGTTTTGGCTTCCACCTTGGCATGACAACCTGTCTCCGGGTAAGACAGCTTGCTACTCACCCACAGTTGATTCACAGAGGCCACGAAGAAGAACAGCAGGTTACTCACCTGTAATTGTAGTTCTTCAAGTGTCTGTGATCCACGCAAACCACCCGACCTCCCCTCTGTCATGCCATGCAATATTTTTATCCTTGTGGCGGTTGACACAATTGAAGGGAGAGTCCTGGCGCCAACGTACATATACCAAGGGGGAGGGGTCTATTCTAATGTGTTTTTTGCTACTGAAGAAGCTCTAGAATATTCCGAAGAGGCTCTGCATAGGTGCAGATCACCCACAGTGTGAATCACAGAGGTCCACTTGAAGAACTACAAGTACAGGAGAGTAATCTGCTGTTTCCAATTTGCTTATTAGTTACTTTTAAAGGAAATTTTAGAGGTGACTCCATACAATTTTTCAAGTTTTTTTGTCAGTCTGTTACCAGTCTGAGTGTATAGGGTATGTGTATCTGTGGTAATTTAAAAGGACAATAGAAAAACAATGAGCAGTGGGTAACTACAAATTATTTTAATCAGCTACATAATTAATTATTTCTTTTCAAAGATGTATTGCCTAAGTCTGCACCCTTGATGTACTCCTGAATTATGTCCCTACTGCCAGTTATCAAAAAAAATCAGCAACACAACACTAAACTACATGACAAGTGCCACTTCTTGTTTTGTCCTAACTTTAGCTGGATTAAGCTTTACAGGAGCAGAATGTCCTATTAGTCCACTTTGCACTCTGCGCTACTGCTAGTGCACCAATTCTGCAGATGAGTAGTGGACAGCTGGCTCTGTTCCAGATCAATATGAATTCACTGCAAGACTAAGCTGCCATATACAGCTATAGATGTGGAAGATCTAATACACTTCATTTGTAAGACAGCAAAGACAGTGCAGTGTTTGATAAATGTTGATAGCCCGTAGGAAGTGTTACCATCTCTGTGTGCACAAGATCTGCAGCTGTATGAAGTTGGGCTCTCCTTCCTCTCCCAGATGTTTTCCTCATTTGTAATTAGAAATGAGGATTTCTTTGCCCCAACTGCAAAAGGGGAGAAAACATTTTACAATAATTTCCATATATTGTCATTACAACAGAAGCTGGATATACTGTCTCCCATGCAACCTGAAAGAGGGAGTGATAACACTTTCAAAAAGCTGGGAAAATTTGTTCACTTGATTTGCCATTTTGGCGAATGGTTTTTAGAGTATCCCTCATGCATTAACTGGCATGACAAGACTGCTGAGTAGCTGCTGCTTCAGTACATCTCATATGAGTGTACAAGCTCTTAAATGTCCAAAAGAAATTGCTAAAATAGATGAGATATGTAATCTTTTTCACTTGATCATTTAACCTTGTACCCCTCCTTTTGTTTGAACTGTTTGTGATTTAAGCTGAGGTGGGGTTGAGAGATATGAATACTTGTATATTCTTTTGTTTTCAGTCACACAATGGACTTCTTATCACATAGCAATTACCGTATTTTTCGCACCATAAGACACACTTTTCCCCCACAAAACAGGGGGGTGGAAAGTCTGTGCGTCTTATGGAGCGAAGAAAGCAGATTATATTTTCCTGTTTTCTTCTCCTAAAAAATTGGTGCGTCTTATGGAAAGGTGCGTCTTATGGAGTGAAAAATACGGTATGTAAAGACACCAGATGCATATATAAATATTTGGGGGAGTACCTTATAAACAAGTGAGAATTGCATTACATCCTAACATTTCTAAGAGTCCATACATAAATTATTTCCCCATTCAAAAGTCGTGGTGCTGTCTCTGTCTCTCGCACCATCCCTCTGCCACCCTCAGTAACTGAGCTACTCAGTTTCTACCATCTGTGTCAATAGGTATCTGGGTGGAACACATAGCTCCTATCAGTGATACGCCACATTGCTTCTATCAGTGATACACTACACCACAGAGGAAGAAGGAAAGGAGCAAAACAATGAAATTGGTAGGTAGAAAAGGAGGTATTTATTATGTCTCACTACAGGACATGCCTAATGGCTGTGCATACAAGGCAGATTTGCTTGCCTTCCTTGGATGGGAAGAAAAGCTGCCTGGAGCGCTGATTGGCTGCCTGGGCCTGCCAGAGCAGGGTGAGAAAAGGGCCTATATAAGGTGACCCTGCCCTTGCTCAGGCCTCTGCTGAATGCATAGCAACTCACCCACCTGCCCTCAGGGTTCAGTGCAAGACTTGGTCATTTCAGGGCTGGATAGGAATTTTGGACCCATATCACCTGGTAGGCATATTGAAAAAAAGGTGTGGGTAATTTTCACCTATCCTGTACGGAGGGCCCTATGGGGCAAGGATGGGCTGATCAGGGATGGTGTTACAGTTAAATAGGTCACACTAGTGGGATGGTGAATGGAGTAGCAATGAGTTCCAAAGGTTCAATGTGCTGTATATGGCTACCAACATCTCGGTGTTGAGGATCCCAACATTCTCTTGTTGGGATGGCAGCCTAAAGACTTGGGTGGCTGGTGATGATGAGGGTCATCTGAGTGTTAGCTGTTCAGGAACTGGCTGTCGACATGATATCACGAACCTGGGGCTCGGAACTCACCAGGTGGGGCAGAGGCAAGGTAACCAGGCATCTCTGGTACCTGCCTCTGGGATCGGCACTACTGTTGGCACTAAACTACATGACAAGAATATGTATATGAATGTAAGTGTTTTACTGGATCAGAGCAAATTTCTTCATGATCAAGAGATAAACTCCAGACTGTAAGAAATACTATGTAGGACACAACTGGAAGATTGATCCATTGATTCTTGGGACCTTGTAGGTTAATACTAAAGAAGGGCTGCTGTCTCTTTTTCTCCTGAAACACATAGTCATTTTTAACACCTATGTGTAGTAAGCATGTAAACATGCTCCCCTCCCCCAGGAGTATCTGTATTAACTACATTCACAGGATGGTGGGGTGTTTCATTTCTTGTCTTTAAAAAGCTTACCAAAATTTGCAGAGTTCTTCCAGCTGGGTACTACTTAGGGTTTTAAAATTCGGAGCATAGGAGAAAGCAAAACTGACAAAATTTCCCTTTCCAAATCATTAAGTGGAGAGAAAGAGTCATTTAAACTGTTTAGGATTTTTTAAATTTATATTAATTTTTTTTTAAAAAAAATCTGAGGTTAAGAATTATTTTACTTACTATTTAAAGAATAATGGATATCAATGAAATTGATAATGAAACTGCCTGAAAGCCTTGCAAATTCAGTCCATCCTGCCAGACTGGACTCTGGACATGTCATGACACCTGACACCACCCCCCGCCCCCATATCTTGACCTGAGCTCATTAAAGGATAATTTCAGCTCTTAATCATAGAAAAGGGAAGGGAAAGGAATGAAGAGTACAAACATTTAAAGACTTCTGAAGAGACCATATTCTCTATGCATTAGGCTCTTACTGGCCTGGGACTAGGAGATGGGAGAAGTGACCCTCAACAGTATATTGCCAGCTGAACTTTGGAGTTTTTTCTTTTGTGGGATTCTCAAATCATTTTTTTAAATCTGAAGGAAAATTATTTCAATATCATGACACAGAGATGTTTGACCCCATTGGTTATCTGAGAAAAATCCAATAAATGGAGAATATTGATTTTATAATGATGTTAATAAGGTGATTTTGTAAAACTATGGTAGAAATGTATTATATCATTAAAAATACCAGACTGTGGTGTCTACAGCAATCAGTTAAATACTCAAATTGTACTAACCTTCAAGTTCTTTAATTTGCCTCTTGAATTATATAAAATGTGAAATACTGGAAGTAAATTATAAACCCATATTATATATTTACAATATTCTCAATTTCTAGAGTGACGTTTCTTAAAGTACATGCAGAAGCTACCAAAAGCAGTGTTAATCAAGCTACAGGAGACAGTCAAATTAGTAAAACTAACTGTATTTTAAAGGTCGATATTTAAGTTCCATCTTCTGAATGAGATATGGTAGTTTGATATGTAACTCAAGCATAAAATAAGTATTGATTTTTTTTTCATGAAAAATAGTAGGGTAGATCATTCAGAAGATGAAAGAGATTAACAAATGTACATATGTTGATTTTGCTCCATCCACTCTGGAAAGGATTACCAAAGGAAACAAACCAAACAAATTAAAAAAAAAACTTATTAAATATAGCAGAAGAAAAGTTTGAACTCTCAATTGCTGTATGTTTATCACTTTATTTTTCCTGTTAACTATGTTATTCTTTCAAAGATTTGAAATAAATGTAAAAGAATCACAATCTAAAGAACAAATCTTACTGGAATAACTTTAGTAATCCAGGCAATTTCTAATTAGAATTTACAAGTAACAATCCAGAGGGCAGATTTATTAGCAATACATGCCAAGTGGATCGAAGTATAGAAATATTAAATTTTTAGACTACAGTCCCCTCAGAACAGACAAGGATTCAGAAAGTTGTAATGTCAAAAAGTAATGTATTTGATATTTATATTTTTAACACAGTACTACCACAACATTTTGCTGTCCAAATCAGAACTGATTGCCTTGTTTTCCTGCTGTTATATGCCACGTAATCTCTGACATGTGGTGGTGACTGTATGAATGAGTGACTTCCAAAATGGCCTGTGCTTAACAGCCCTGCTCAGCTCCTCATTTCACCTCTGTGCCAATCAACAACTAGATGCCCCCTTGGCTTTAATGTAGTTGCTTAGTTAGCGACATTTGTACTTCTCCCTTGCTATTCCCTAGTAACTCCCTTGTGACCTGGCAGTCTCATCTTCTTACACTAACTTTTGCTTCACTTTGAAATTAATTCTGCCTCATCAGGAAGTTTCAGTGTATGAATATCTAGAAGTTGTTTGCATTTTCTTCTTCCAACAAGCACTAACAAAGTGAGCTTGCGGGTCACTGCTGCTGTCTCCAAAAGGTCTTCCAGCAGGGAGTGTCACTTTCCACCATTGTTGTGCCCAGTAACTGCCCTTCAAGAAAGCTTGTGGTAAATATTTGATTTTTAGTGGTCTAAAACATTTGGATTGTGCACCTCACAGTGATCTCTGTTGGAGTTGGGGGGGGGAGTTGTTTGGGTTTTGCTTTGTTTTTTCTTTTCCCCTTCAGGACTTTCTGCTGATACACTTTGAAGTTCCAAATGAAATTTGAGAGTGAAATACCCATTATAATAAATATTTTCTTTTTTTAAACAACCCCTTTGTTTTCCTTTCACTATTCTAAATGGTCTGGTTATTGGTGTCCACATAATTTTCTGTATTGCCTGAAGCTAAAGCAAGATGCTGTCTGCTCCTTTTCACAAACACAAACCAACCAGACGGACAGTTGAATCTTATACTTCAGTGCAGGCAGCTAAGTAACATCCTCCCCTGTCTGTATGAAGACAAAAGCTTTGTGACAGATGATAGGCTCACAGAGCAGGCCGTAGACTATTAACATTAATGTACAATGCTGTACCCCAACAACTCACTAGTACCCATCAGTTCTTTTCCATCCCCCATTTTTTGTTGCCTGAGGTAATTGCCTCGTACTTCCTAATGGTAGGGCCAACTCTGATCTTTAACAGGTGTTTACTCATTAAACGTATGTCATAGAATGCTGGAGTTGGAAGTGGCCTGTAAGGCTATTGAGCCCAATCTCCTGCTCAAGACAGGAAACCAAATCAAAGCAGATCTGACAGATGGTTGTTCAATTTTCTCTTGAATGCCTCTGGTTTTGGAGCCGTCATCACCTCTCAAGGGAATTGGTACCATTGTTGTATTGCTCTAACAGTTAAGAAGATGTTTTGGATATTCAGCCTAAATCTAGCTGATTTTGGGGAATGCATCTTGAAGTGGGTGTACCAGTACATGGCCAAATTATCCCAGCGTGGATTGTTCTGAATCATGCTTAGCGATGTGATATGTTATTTGTGGTCATGCAAGGATCAAACACACTGCATCTCCAGCAACCTTATTTCACCCATCTTTTAAAGGATGGATGGAAGGAATTCATATACTGTAGATCATAAATGTATATATGCATCATAAATATGTATATGTATTTGTTTAAAATCAAAT